GCGCAACTATCTGATGTTCTGCCGTTCGATGTTTCATGGAGCAGGTCTTTGAGTATGGGCTGATCATCCTGGCGCCCATGTCGGGGCGCGCGGCCACTTGGCATGCGACGTGAAGGTCGGCATCCAAACTGTCCAAGGGCCCGAGGGCCTACGTGTACAGGCACATGCGCAACTTGGGACATGAGCTCTCGGGCGGACGGGCGCGGCGCATCCGGGAGCGCAGGAGGCTGGCAGCTTTGACGGCCAAGCGCGCCGAGCTCCAGGCCTTGGCCAGAGGGGCCAAGGAGAAGGCGCGCAAATTGTGGAGGACAGGGTGGTTACCTTCGGCGGCTCACGGTGCAGGAATCAGTGGCGTTGCAGAATCGACTATGACTTAGTTGCGGGCAGTGGCAGCCACGCCCGTGGGCGCGCGGTCTCACCTCTCGATCACGGCATGGCTTAGCACGCAGACCGGCAGCCAGTACGATCCATTTTCCATGGAACCACCAGTCTGGCAGTACTATATGCAGGGACTGCGTGGGACCAACAAGTTTCGCTTGCAGAGTTGCAGCGCGCGTAGATGCGTAGATGGCCATGGAGAGCAGGTTCAGTGGTGCTCTTTCCTGGGGCAAATGCTTGGGCCCGATCCCGGCGACTTTTCTTACGTTGCAGAGAATGCAATAACACATGGCGTTGGCGTTTCTTTTGTCACAGATCAGGGCGCGGCCGTCAACCTGCTCGAGACACCTCGGCTCGATTTGAAGCAGATGCTCATCGAGGGTGTGGGCAGGTGGCAGATGGCGCGCGCCCTGGCATATTCCACAGGCTCTTGGACATGGGCAGATTTGGCGCAGGGCCCTGCGGATCAGCATCCTGGGTATTCGAGACCCAGTTCGACTTGGCTCCGCTCGACTGTTGCCAGGTGCAGGCAGCTGGGCGCCCGCGAGGAAGCATTTCGCCAAGTTGCGCGCCGTGCCAAAATATGATTTCTGCTCGGCTGTGAACGGCACGCTCGGGCAACAGTCGTATGGTCGCCCTCGCTTGATTCACCCCCCAGACGATCTCGAACCAGAGGCTCTCCCTGATGATGTCTTGGAGCATAGGGCGGCTGTAAGGTAGGAGGGGTGTCAGAATCCCTCGGACGACTGGGACACCTTGGAGCTGGCCTATGGGCCCCCCGTTTACCCTTTCAGTCTGCCCACGCTCCCTGAATACCCTGTGCTCCAGTGGGGCGCAACCCACCAAGAGTAGGGGCAGCGCGTCTAGACCGACGGCTCGGGACTGGCGAGCGCCAGTCCCGAACTTAGACGGTGTGGATGGTCTGTCGTCAAGGTCGGGCCCAGTGGGGTTCCTGTCAGGCCCTGTTCGGGCCCCTCTCTGGGCGCCAGACGGTGCCTCGTGCCGAGCGCTACGCTGGTATGTGGGCGATCAAGGTTGCACCCCCAGGCGTCGAGGTTTGCAGTGCCCACTTCTCTTTCGTCAAGGAGGGAACCTCTTGGGATGCGTCTCTGGTGCTCGGTCTTTGCATGCGGACATATGGCGTGAGCTAATTGCGTGCGCGGAGGGCCACCCCAGGCCCCTGCTGACGCCGGTACCAGCCCACCGCGAGCTCGATGATGTGCTCCACCTCTCCCAGCGAGAAATCCTAGACATGGTGTGGCAAAATCCGGGCTGATTTTTTCATTCGCACAGGCTCGGCGATGCAGAAGGTGCCAGACGTTGTTGTTGCTTCTGAGCGTGCCAGCATATCTGCGACGAGGAAGACGTGGGATTTTCTTCCCAGGGTGGTCCAGTTTTTCGAAATCGCGGGCCAAACGATAGAAGCCCCTCCTGTTCCGCCCAAGCTAGCGATGGCGAAGCCATCTGTCACTTTCGTTGAACACGATCTGGCTTACATCCCTGCCCGGAAGGAATGCAGATGCCGCAACTGTAATATCTCAGCCTGTGCAGAACTCACGTTCAAAAGGGATCCGAAATGGTGCTAGCCGTATGTGCCAGCCTGATCCAATTCGGGCCAAGAGGGCCCGCGAGATCTTCCAACAGGTTAAATCTAGCCCTGGCGACGCCTCGGGTCGGGTTGCGCTTGCCGCTGCCTCTTTGGCCCCGGAGCCTTCCTCCCACTCTCCTCACCTGCCCGCGGTGCCTGGGGACGATGACGGGGGCACGTTGACTGACCCAGGTCTTGGGCTTTTGGAGTTTCAGGCCAAGTCTGCTGACCCTATGGCCCACTTCGCTCCCTCCTCCTCGGGGGCTCATGGGCCCTCTCAGCCTGTCTCTGTCGGCTCGGGGTCGGCACCTGACGATGGCTTAATGTGTTTCGTGATTTCCAGCACCGCCCTGTGCGATATGAGCGGGCTATCGTTTGCCAGCTGTGCGCTTGTTTTCTGATCCTTCCTGATGGCTGTTGTCGGGAACTCATAGCAAGAATGCAGAGGAGTGTCGCAGGTCAAGTCGACGCGCAGAGTACAGTCGGGGCCCTGGAGAAGGAACCCTTTTGGTTGGGGAGGGGCTCCGCGTTCCTTAAGTGTTTCACAGCTTGCCTCAGTTGTTCGCTATGTCTTCGATCGGAAATCGAAGTTTAACTTATAGAAAAAAGGGGCCTCGTTCCTTGTTTAGGGCTCCTTAGGTCAACGCCCCGACTGTACACCTCAGGAAGCTGGCCTTGGCTGCCCGGGGCACACATCCCCAGTCTGGGGATCCCCTGCCTCCCCTCCCCACCCCCGCCGCCCCGCCGCCCGACCCGTCCGCCACGGTGCCCTGGCATCGCTCGGACGTGTGCATTTTTTACTCGGCGAGGACCATCGAGGAGCATCCTTGATCACTCGGCGAAAAAAGCACGCACGAAACCGACAAGAACAAAGGGAATGACGTCCGAGCGATGGCGAAGTGCGGGTGCCCGACGCGGCCGCCTCGCGCGTTGTGGAGGCGGCGTGCGTGTTTGGGAAAGCGGTTGGAGATGATGGGGATGCGGAAGGCTCGGGCAGCTCTGACGCTTCCCGCGGCGCCCTGGCCTCGTAACCCCTTGGGGCCCAGGGCGTCGCCTTCATACTCTTTCGGGCTCGGTGTTTGATCGAGCCCTCGTTCCCTCATTGTATCTCAGTCTGCTGATTGCTCACCTGCAGACTCGAGGCTCGATCGCTCGCATTCCTCCTTTGCTTCCTGCGCATTACGGAGAAGGTGCTCTTCACAAATTCCAAACTTCCAATTTCACATACGATTTTCCCAAAAAATGTTTGCGTTAAGGGACACGTGCTTTACTCTGACAGCTAAGAAGCGTGGTGCCACTTCCGGATGCCCTCCCCGTCGCGGCCATCTGCGGCCCCGTTGCCTTTGTTGCCTTGTTGACGCTCAGTGGCCGCCCCGTCGTTGTCGTGTTGCCGCCTCGTTGTGTATGACGCATTGGTCTGCATCGTTTGGTAACTATTGCGCTGCTTTGCGCTGGTCTTCGCCACGTTTCCTTTCATAGGCTTGCACTGAGTTACATTGGTCTGCACTGTGTTGCATACATCTCTGTGCGATTCACGCTGCTCTTCGTTAGTTTGTATATGCCGCCCTGCCTTGCGTTGCCGCGCACTGCTTCGCATTGCTTCAACTGATTTGCATTGCCAGGTATTGCAATCCGTTGCATCGCTCAGCTGTGGTGTGCAGTGCTTTGCTCTGCTTCGCAATGTTGCATTGCACTGATTTGCACTGTTTGCACTTGTTGTCGCTGCTTTGCCCTGCTTTGCATCGCGGTGCATTTCTCCGCACGGCGTTGTATTGCCTTGCATTGATTTGTATTGGTTGGGTCTGCTGCATTGCCTCACTTTGCATTTCTTTCGCTACCTTTTTGTCCAGCGCCCCCGCTAGAATCATGATGCATGAATTAGTTGTACGCCGGGCGCGTCATTGCGACGAAGTTTCTGCGACGATCGTTTGACATTCACGCGTTACTGCGATGCTACCGAGCACCCGCACGACCGTCCGTTTCAACCCACACCAGGGCTTTTCAGGCCTCCACCCGTGGTGCCGCTCGAGGATCGACAAGGTTTCCTCGAACGCACGTGTGTCCACCAGGGTCGACATGACCGTGCATTGTGCCCCGCCCAATTATGGCGGCACTGCGCCGAGATCCCCCTCACCCGTGTGTTCCCGCATTCCTGAGGGTCAAGGCCTCTTAGATGGGGTCGGAGTAGATGGGTTCGGAGGATCGCGCCGCATCGGCGATGCATCGGCGATGTATCGGCGATGCGGCTCGATTTTCTCCAGGCCCACGTCGCCGATGCATCGCCGACGTCGCCAGTGCCTTGCCGATGCGTCGCCGATACAGTTGCGATGCGTTGGCGATACGGCGCGTTCATTTGACCCCATCTACTCAGACTCCATCTAGGAGACCGTTAGAGAGGCAGCCAGGCAAGAGACGCCCAGGGCCGTGCGAACCGACCGCTACCAACGCGACCCCTTCTGTGACGACCCCCTCGCCTCGCTGCTCCAAGGCGTGGGCAGGCGCCAGAGGGGAGCTCCGAGGGCAAGGTGCCCGTCATGGAAGGGATCGGTCTTGGCCATCGGGGGATTTGCCTTGCCACACAGGCGAAGCAGCGGGCGCCGCCGCCGAGCCTCCCTCGGCGGCGACGGCGACGACGGTCGGCGCCACGACGCCGAGCACCCAGCGACGACGCCCCCTGGCAGCGGGCGGCGGCGCTGCCGACGGCGGCGGCCGCGCGCGGCTCACAGAGCGCGTTCCACTGCTCGCAAAGTGCCTCCTCGCAAACATCCGAAAAGCACAAGTCTGCACCGATGCCATGTCTCGTAATTCCTCCATGGCGGACCCAGACCATTTGCGAGTAGTCATGTTGCGAGTACCTTGGCATCGCTCGGACGTGCATTTTTTCTCGGCGAGAACCAGCGAGGGCGACCCTGGACCATCGAGCAAAAAAACACGCACGAAACCGAAAAATGCACGGGAAATGGACGTCCGAGCGATGGCGAGGTAGTGGGGCGCGCTTGTCTAGCGGCTGCGGCGGCGCCAGCCGGCCTGCCAGGAGCTTCCGCGGGCGCCGGGCGGCCGGCGCGCCCTCCCGCCGTTGCCGCCCCGCCGGGCGCCGCGGCGGAGGAGCCGCCGTCGCGGCGGGGCGCTTCCGCCTCTAGGGCTGCCCGCGGCCCTCGGCGGCCCTCGGCGGCCCCCGGAGGCCCTCGGAGGCCCTCGGAGGCCCTCGGAGGCCCTCGGAGGCCCTCGGCGGCTTTGGCGGCCCTTGGCGACCTTCGGTGGCCCTCGGCGGCCCTCGGAGGCGGCGGCGGCCGCGAGCGTGGAAAGCGGGTTGGCAATGAGGATCGAGCATCGAGGATGGAGAGTCCTATTCGGGTGACGTAGTTGTTTGTTGGTGGGAGGCCTCCCGGCGGCTCCTTGCCACCGTGGTTGGATTCTTCTCGAAGCGCTGACCAGCACGCACCCACAGGATGGGTACAGGAGTCCATCTGCCAGGGGCGGGTGCCGAGTGCGGCGGCAACGACGGCGTCGACGGCGACCGTGCTGTCGTCGACGGCTTCGACCGCGGAGAGCAGGGAGAGAGTGCGACTGACGAGGGTGAGGGCGACGATGACGACGATGGAGGGGACAGCGAGCAGGCGATCGCAAACATTGATCAAGGGGGCGTGGATTGGCGACGCGCCTTTTTCCATTGGGAATCGTGGAGTTCTGCCGCCGAACGAGGAACGAGGTGGCACCAGCCGCATGTTGGGGAGGGCATCTCCCCCGATCCATGGAGTTGGTGACCGCGGCGACGGCGGTGATGCGGTGATGCGGCGACGAAGCAGGCGTGGACGTTGACGAGGACGTCGGCGACAGCGGCGACGGCGGTGATGGGAAGCAAGAGGACGATGGTGTCTGCGAGGACGCCGACGAGGACGACGAAGCCCACGCTGAAGTCGAGGACGAGGGCGAAGATGACGTCTTCGACGAACATCACGAACACGACAAACTCGACACCGCGAACAACGACGATGGCGACGACGAGTATACGACGAGGAGGACGAGGGTAAGAAGGAGTTCCTGTTGAGCGAGAACGTCCGAGGATTGAGCGCCGTTGGTGGCCCAGAGTCGTTCGACGTCGGGCGACCTGAGCCATCGGAAGCAGCCATCGCTCACAGTTCAGCCATCCACGCGAGGCCAGCAGAAACACCGATGCGCAAGTCGCCACGGCGCGAGCCCAGCCGCGCAGCGTCGTTTGCTCCATGCCTGCCTCTTCTTTCCCTCCGTCTGGGGACTCGCGGCAGTTGCCTGTCCGAGGGGCACCTCGCACACGGGGAGGGCTTATTTCGGGCCGGACGAAGGGGGGGATTGGGAGAGGGGGGGGTACGAAATCTGTTCTGTGCAGCTGGTTTTGGCCCCACCCAGGGGCCGATTCCTCGATACATAGTCGCCTCCGGCGCCGGGAGCGCCGGGAGAATCAGCTACGTGAGCTGATTCTCAAACCTCCCCTTTGCTATCCCCCCCTTTCGCCCGACCCGATTATTGGACCCACTGCCGTTGAACTTGTGGCGTCCAAAATTCAGATGGCGAGGCGCCAGAGAGAGGGCGCGACATCCCTCGAAGAAGGAACAGCTGCATAAACATAAACGTTTAGCTGTCCGTGCGGATTTCTGGGTCCCCCTTCCTCACCCTGTCTAGCCCTGCCCCTCCTGCCCATCCCTCCCTTCCCCGTCCACCTCTTCCCCTCCCTTTTGCCTGCTCCCCCGCCTCCCCCTTCGCCTCCTCCTGCGCTCCTGGAGGTCCTTGGAATGCATGCCCCCCCCCACCCCTCCTGGAAGCCCCGTCCTGCGACGGCGGCGGCGGCGACGGTCTCGGAGGCCCAAAGGGGCCCCTGCAGCTTCGGAAACTCCAATCTTCCTCGGCGACGACGGCGGCGGCGGCGACGACGGCGGTGGCGGTGACGGCGGCGGCGGCGACGGCGGCGGCCGCGACCGCGGCCGCGGCCCCCAGCGGCCAGGAGGAGCCGTGCCGCAGGTGGCGGCGCCCGCTGGGTCGGCCCGCGGCCCCGTCGCCCGCCGTGCACCAGCCGCAGGAGCCGCTCAGCGCCAGGCGCGCCGCGGCCACCGCGGTTCGTCGGGCGTCGGAGGGTCGGTCGTCGTCGGTCGGTCGTCGCCCGGTGCCGTCGTCGCTCGCGCGTCGCTCGCGCGTCGCCGTTCGGCGGTCGGTCGGTGTCGCGAGGCGGTCGCCGTCGAGGATCGAGGATTGAGACGGTCTGGGGCATTTGAGGGCCTCCAGGGCGTGGTCGCCGCCGTCGCTGCAGTCGTCGTCGTCGTCATCGTTGTCGTCGTTGTCGTCGTTGTCGTCGTCGTCGTCGTTCGTGATTCGTCCGTCGGTCGGTCGGTGTCTTGGTCCGTCGTCGCCGTTAGTCGTGTCAGTCGGTCACGTTGTCCTTGTCGAGGATCGTGGATAGAGATTCTTCATGCTTTGGGGGCCTCTTAGGGCCTCCAAGGCGCGTTCGCCCAGACGTCGTCGTCGTCGTCGTCGTCGTCCTCGTTCGACGCTCGGTTTGTCTGTCGTCGGTCGGTCGGTGTCGGTCGGTCGGTCGTCGTCGTCGAGGACCGAGGAGCGAGGCTTTTGGATTTTACAGCGTCCTCGCTCAGCCCTTGGAGGCGCCCTCGTCGCCACGGCCGGATCCGCCTTGACGTCCTCGTCAGAGAGCGCTCCGGGAGAGGTCCGGTGTTGGATCGTCTTCGCCGTTTCCCCCGGAATTCGCGCGTCGTCTGAGGTCGGGCGTGTCACCCTACAGGAGGAATATTCAAGAATAGCAGAACAAAACAGTTTGGTGACGATTGTTCGTGCTCTTCTGCGTATAGTTTGACTAATCTTGATGTGTTTAAAAATTCGTCCTTCCCAAATCCGCATGTAGGAGGGCATGCCCGACCTCAGCGTCGTCCTCCTCGTCCTCGCCGTCGTCGTGGGGGGGAAGAGGGAGGGTGCGGGGGGGGGCCGAAGATCGCGGGAGGCCTGCCAGAGGGCCGAGATGTCCATGGCCGAGCTCTTCCTCACGCGGTCGCCCCCCCTCCTCTCGAGCCCCCTCGAGGGGGCCTCGAGGGTCCTCCTGTCCAGGGACCCCCTCCCGTTCAGGGAGGCAACGTCAGGGGTAAGGCGGGCATGCCCCTCTTCAGGATGGACATCCTAGAATAGTTTTACAACAGGCAGGTGAGGCATGTTGGTTTTAAATTCTGTTTGATTATGTGTTTACTATTGATTTTGTTTTCCCAGAATCCGCCCCCTCTCCTCTCCAGCCCCCTCGGGATTGTTTTTTCTTCCTGGCCACAACGCGCGTTATGCCCCCTACCCCACCCCACTCCCTCCGCCCCCATAACGTAACGCTCTCCCTCATCAGTGCGTGCCCGGCGCTGCCGCAGTGCGTCTGGCACCACAGTCTGGGGGGGGCGCTACGTTGTGCCCCCTCCCGTCCCCCTCCCCTCTCCCCCATAACGCCCGTTATGGCCGCGAATCTATAAATGCGCTCCTCTGGAAGGGGCGGGCTCAGGGTCCCCCTCCCGTTCAGGGACAACGCCAGGGTGGGACAGGCTCAGGGGGGGTGCATCGACCACCTATCGCCCATCGATCGCCGATAGGGTCCCGACAGCCCGTCCCGCCGTTCGGGTTTACCATCGGGGGGCCTGTCGGCGATGCATCGCCGATTCCAGCGGGATGTTGCTCCCCCACCCGACCTGGACTTCCCCTGAACGATTCGCTGAACCCGTGTCCGCCCCCCTCTGCCGCGCGGTTCCCTCCCCATGCAGTGGAGACCCCTGCCAAGAAACACCCTGCTTGCCTGCAGGGTGCCCTGAGGTTTCTTGGGCCTCGATGGCTCTGCTGTGGAAAGCGCGGCGCTCCCACACCAGAAATTGGTGGACATCCTGGGGTCCCAGGGTTGGGCTCCTTGTGGAAGGTTTCTTCTGGTCGAGCTCCGGCTGTCAACGTTGCCCCTCACCCCTTTGCATCGCTCGGACGTGTGCGTTTTACCTTCGGCAAGAACCATCGAGGAGCATCCTTGATCCTTGGGCGAAAAAACCACGCACGAAGCCAAAAAAAACACAAGCACCGGAAAAATGGACGTCTGAGCGATGCCCGGTTCCGCGGCCGCCCGCGCCCCCCCTGCCGAGGCGCAGGTGCGTCGCGCGCGGCTGCGCCACGCCGCTCCCCGGCGGCTCCCACGCCGCCGCGGCCACCGCCGGCACGCCCGAGCGGCAGGGCGCGCCGCGGGCGGACTGAGGGCGAGGCGGCCGAGGCGCCCGTCGTGCTCGCCCTGAGATCCTGGCGTCTTGGCGAGCGAACAACACATCAGAGCCCCGAATCATCAGGGGTAACTCGGGTCAGGGATAACTCGGGTTCGTTTCTCGGGAGTCCGAACCCGAGTTACCCCGGACCCGAGTTACCCCGGATAACTCGGGCGTCCAGAGCCCCGAATCATCAGGGGTAACTCGGGTCAGGGCTAACTCGGGTTCCTTTTTCGGGAATCCAAACCCGACTTACCCCGGACCCGAGTTACCCCGGATAACTCGGGCGCCCAACACCCATGCCCAGAGGGGCGGTCGTTGGGAGGAGGACTCGCTATGGGTATGGGTGCGGGTTGTCGGACCCTGGGGAACGCTCCCGTTCGAGCGGGGACCCCCATCCGACAGCACGTATCCATAGCCCTCTCCGACCCCCCTTGTGGGCATGGGTGTGTGTCGTTGGTTCGTCACGTCTCATTTTTGGGGGGCCGGGCGTTTTTGCCCCATCTGGGGCCCTGGGACCCTCGCAGGCCGATCTGGCTCAGAGAGTGGCGCGGAGAGGTGGGGTCCGGGGCTCTCGGTGCGCGTGCTTCACGACGCCGGTGCGTCGGATCTCAGGGCGTGCCCCGCCGCCAGGGCACCCCGAGCAGAGAGGTCGCCAGCGTCGGTCGGCGGCGAGCCCCGGGGGGGAACGCGGCCTCGAGGGGGCGGGCCTCGGAGGGCTCGGAAGGCCTCGGGTCTGCCGAGAAGTTTGCTGGGCTGTCTCCGAAGACAGATGCGGCTTCTCAGAGGGCCGGAGGACTTTGAGAGGCTTTGAGGGGCCCCGCCGCCTTCTGAGGAGGCCTGGCGCCTCGCTTTCCTCCCGTTGGCTCGCCGCCGAACAATCTGTGCGATTACGCCGGGATGTGTTTTGCTATCTGCGCCGTGGGGGCTCAGGGGTCACCATGTGGGGCCCAAGATTTGATTGATGAGCCCACGTCGGGGCGCGGCGGAGATCTGTCGAGGTCCTCGCCCGCCCCCCCAGGCACGGGTTGCAAACCGCACCCTTTGCAAGCCGCACCCGTCGGCCCCGCCGCCAGGGCACCCCGAGAAGAGGGATCGCTGGCACCGAAGGCGAGCAGTCGACGCAAACAGACATACCTTCGGAGCGCCGCGCAGATCTCCTGGCTCGGCGCTGGGCCCCCCCTGGCGGCGCCCAGCCGCCCCTGGCGCGCGGAGGGGTCAAGCGCCGATCCAAGAGATCCGCGCGGAGCTGCGAAAGCTTCTGCTTCTGCCGCGTCGTGCTCCTCTGCAGCAGGCTAACGGCTAACGATCCGCGTCCGTGGCCCGCGGCGGGCTGCCCGGCGGCCTCGTGCGCGCCCGGTGCCCGCGCGGCGTGCGGAGAAAGCGCGCGCGGGGGGGGGGCGATGACTTGGAGGGCCGGCGTGGGCACGGCGCGGGTGGCGACGCAGGCAATGGCCTTGGCGGCGAGCCCGGGGGGGGGGGGGAAGCGGGCAGGGGGCGGGCCTCCCAGGCAGGCTCGGCGGCCCCCCCCCGCGGGCCTCCCGGGAAGTCCTCCAGGCCTGCCCCGAGGGCGCCGCAGGCCTCGGAGGGCCCGAGGGCCTCGGAGGAGCCCCGCCGCCTCCTGAGGAGGCCCTTCTCCTCCTCCCTTCCCCCCCTCGCTCGCCGCCGAAGGGTGGCCTCTCCCCAAGGGCTCCAGACTTCGCGCTTCGCGCTGCGCGAATCGCCCAGGGGCTCCTGGGAGGAGCCCCGCCCGCCTTCAACTTCTGGGAAAGCCTCCTCCTCGCACTGCTCCCCCCGCGCTCGCCGCCGAGCAGAGCCGATCCTGTGCACTCCCGACTCGGAACAGGGCTCGCTGGCGGTACCGTCGCGGGCGGTGTCCATTCGCTTGGCATCGCTCGGACGTGTGCATTTTTCCTTCGGCGAGGACCATCGAGCAGCATCCTTGATCAGTTGGCGAACAAAAACACGCACGAAACCGAAAAAAACACAGGGAATGGACGTCCGAGCGATGGCCAGTTCGGGGCCCACGTCTCGCTGGCCCAACAGCGACCGCTGTCGGCTTTGGAGCAAAGCTCGCTGCTGAGCTTCGTGCCTGTGTTCCGTCCCCATTTCGGGCGTGCCAGGATCGGGCATAGCTCAGGAGGGAAAAATACACAGACACAGACACAATTAATCGATCCCCTAGAACATATGGGAAGTGGTGGGGAAGACAGAAACCCAGAAAATATAGGAAAATACGGGGAATCTTTTGATTTGTGTGTATTTATTTGTGTGTCCTGGGGTCCCTTCAGTCTCGCTTGCCCAACAGTGACCGCTGTCGGCTTTGGAACAAGACTCGCTGCCGAGCTTCGTGCCCCTGTGTTCCGTCCCCATGTCGGGCGTGCCAGGATCGGGTGTAGCCATGACGCCGGTGAAGGGGTGTTGGTTAATGTCGCGGGCGTAGAGGTTGACACGAACACCATTATCGGTGGTGTGCCTCCACCGAGGGAAGAAGATCCCGATCTCGGTGATGGTGGTAATATTCTGGCTTCCAAGGTGACCGAAACGTTGCCACCAACACCGAAATCTAGGAGCATCTTCCCCATGTGGAGGCAACCCCCTGTGTTGGTGTTGGTGCCCATTTCTAGGCCTCCTATAATGAATGGACCCCGAAGCTGAAACACAGGCCAGAGTCGCTGAACCATGTCTGCCGTTTACATTAACGCATCTGAAAGTAAGCCAGCTTTGCACTATCTCAGCGGGGGGACCTTTAAAGGGGGGCAGGCGGAGCTGGAGCGACAACCCTACCAGAACTGAATATCCGACGCAGCAGCAGCAGGGCGCCAAGGTGTGCCGCGAGCAGTCTAGCGAGGGAGGTCCCCCCGAGAAGGTTCAAAGCGGGACCGAGCCCCTTTAGGCCCAAGCCTCCAGGCGGTACCTGACCTGGCCCTGATGGCCTCGACGGGCCAGCCAAAACTCGGAAACCTCAGGGCGGGTGAGGCGGGGCCGAAACTGCAGCCAAATACAATGGTTCAAACATTGCTTGCGTACCCCCCCCCTTCGGCGCCTCCTCCAATACACAGGCAATATTGGGGGGCAGGGGGGTACGCAAGGAAATTCTGGGTGACGATTCGGCGGCTAAATCATTTACCGATGCTACTGTAAAAGTGTGTTCTGAAAACGCGTATTTCCACTAACGCATCTTAAAGTAAGCCAGCCTTGCACTATCTCAGCGGGGGGACCTTTCAAGGGGGGCAGGCGGAGCTGGAGCGACAACCCTACCAGAACTGAATATCCGACGCAGCAGCAGCAGGGCGCCAAGGTGTGCCGCGAGCAGTCTAGCGAGGGAGGTCCCCCCGAGAAGGTTCAAAGCGGGACCGAGCCCCTTTAGGCCCAAGCCTCCAGGCGGTACCTGACCTCGCCCTGATGGCCCCGACGGGCCAGCCAAAACTCGGAAACGCGCAAACCCCAGCCCCACATTGAAGAGACTGGCACACATGCCTAAGCACCAGCCCTGCAGCAACGATTTGGGTGGGAGGGTATTTGGGTTATAATCTATGTTGTGCTCCAGCCCCCCTTATGTAAACGCCCCCGGTCCAATTACTCTGGGTGAATTTCACTTCTGAGGAGTACCAGGGAGGACAGGGGACGCTGCAACACACCACTAGACTGCACCGGTCTGTATTCAACAGATAAGGCCAGCACTGCACACGCGCACTCGAAAAGTCCCTGCGAGCAAACAGTACTGAAAACGTCTGGTCACTTCGGCTTGCCGCGCCTGCCTCGGGCTCGGCCTGCCGTGCTCGGACGGCCCGTGGTGAGAACTCTGCCCCCGTCGAAATTGGGGAGCTCGACGGGGCAGCCGCGCGCCCGCCTGAGCTCCTTCAGCAGCGAACGCGCCAGCGGAGACTGCGAGACAGGCGACTCCTCGATGCACTTCGCCACGGCCTCGGCAGGCGCTGCCCAAGAGGCGACGCCCTCGCGCACCTGCGTCTCCGTCATCTTGGCGAGCTGGCCGACCAGGACGTGTGTCTTGGTGTACCTCTGCAGCGCCGTCGTAGTCTGCCACCTCCCTTTGCGGCGAGCCGCCTCCAAGCAGCCGCCTCCGGCCACGAAGCTGGCCGCCCCCGAGTGCCGAATGGCATGTGGGGGGCCCGTGCCGGGCAAGCCCACCGCCTCCAGCGCCTTGTGCCACTGGCGCCTGAACTTGTCCTGCGCCACGGGGAAGACCAGGTCCTTCGCCGAGCAGCGCCGCAGCGATCCGCGCAACACGGCCGCTGTCACCGGCCACGAGATCACGACGCCCTGGTTCGCGCCCGTCTTGACCTTCTCGCCTCTCTCGCGCCTGCCGAGGGTAAGCGCGAGCTGCCCACCAGGGCCCTCCACGACGTCCTCGGCGCGAAGTTGACCCCAGTCCTGCTCCCTGAGCCAGCCGTCCAGCTGCGTCAGCACCGCGGACCCCTCGATCAGCTGCCCACTGCGAAAGAGCCTGCAAATGACCAGGGCCACCGCCTCCATGGGAACAGGCGCGCCCTCGCCCAGCTGTCCGAGTCGGAGCCACGACTTCATCCCCCTCGCCGATGTCGGTAGGCGATCCCTGCGGTCCTGAAAGACGTGCATGAACCCGTTGAACAGCATGTTGGCGCGCCCGAAGCTGACCTGCCGCGCGTGGCACATGTCCGAGAGATAGTCCGCTAGCGTCTGGTCGCGCGCCTCGAAAGTGTCGAAGTCGAGCTGGTTCCGCTTCACGTCCACCAAGAACTCACGCACCGCCTTCTGGTGGGCCAAATTGGTCGCGTCGTCGACGGCATGAACGATCAGGCGGCTCGTGAAGAGCAGTTTGTCCCGCTGTGCCTGCTCCCAGGCTCGAGCCCCCTTCTTGGCCAGCGGGGGCGGTGCCACCGCAGCGCTGCGTTTGGTCGTGCATGTTCGGTAACCGCCACTGTCACCGACGGCTCCCCCTCTAGCAAGCAACGCCCCGAAGGCTACAAATGTGCTGATCCAGCAGCTTCGCCTCGCCGGTCTTGCCGCCGATGGAATAGCCGCTGTAGTCGTCGAGGGACACCTCGTGCTACGTGCTGCTTCACCGTCTCCTCCGCCGCGCCTATGGGCAGCCCTCGCGACGGCCCGTCCGCCAGATTGAGCTCCGACGGGACCCACCGGTAGTAGCCCCTGATCCTGCAGACCATCTGGGTGATCGCCCCTATGCGGCACAGGTGCAGGATGTCCTTCGCCGACGACCGTCCTTTCTGCAACGCTCCCAACGACGCCAGGGAATCCGTAAAGATCAGGATCCTGTGCCCCCAGGCCTGCGACGTCCTGCTCAGATGCCTCAAAGTGGCCACCACCGTCCGCAGCTCCAGCATGTTGTTGTGCTCGCTGTGAGTCCACCGCCCGCAGAAGAGCAAGTGCCAGCGCCGCTTCAGCCAGTCGGGGCCCAGCGGCGTCGTAGTGCCCGCAGCCTTGGCGACCTGCGTGCGGCCAGCTCCCAGCCTCACCCTTGCCCCCGATGGTATCATATCCCACGCGGGCTCCAGCTGACTGACCACCTCCGCGTACGCCCTGCACAGCTCCAAAGGGTAGGCGCAGGCCAGCTGGGTCCACCTGAGCCCGCACGGCGACTTCCCCCTCAACTCCTGATGCGGCTTCCCCGTGCGGCTGCAGCACCAAAAGGACCCAGTGCACCTCTTCGCCAGGCTGGTCATCTCCTTCACGCTCGTGACGAATGCGGTGGGCTTCTTCCAGATCTCCCCGAACATGCAGTAGTCCAGCTCCACCCTCCAAACGTCTACCTTCGCCAAAACCTCCACGAGGGGCGGGAAGCTCCAGATGCAGCTGGTCGAGGGGTTCTCCATGGTGAACGGTATGGCCAGGTTCACGCAGATCTTGATCACCTCCACAGCCACCAGGCACAGTAGGTTCCCCTCGTCTAGCTTGGCCCGGCTCGCGTCGTCCAAGTCGGCGAAGCCCCAGATGTGCTCTGCCGAGCGCAAGGGCGGGGACCGCGCCTTCGAAAAGGTGGCGCAAGGCGGTGCGATATGCACCCACCAATACCAGCCCTGGCGCAGCCTCCGCAGCAAAAGCTCCAGGTTCTCGCTCACCAAGACGTCGTACTCGATCCCCTCCGAAATGTCCCAGGCCTCGCCGCAGGAGTTGGTGAGCTCCCTGATGGCGCCCAGCAGTCTCGACGACCCAGAGAACAGCTCCAGTACCCCCGGACGTCCTGTTCGAGGTCGAGCTGGCAGATCCTCCTCGTCCCCGACTGCCTCCACCTCCCTTTCGAGCTCGGTGTAGACCTCCTCCACCTGGGGGCCCCAGAGGCCCTCGGTCCCCCGGGCTGCCTCGGCTCGGGCCTCCCGGGGTCGCAGTCGCACGCCAACGAGCCGTGCCCCTCGCCCGACGCGTCCGTCATGTAAGCTCTCGGCCACCATGGCGCCTCCAGGTCCGACTCCATGTAGATCGAGAGGCTCGCCACCGCCGAAAGCTCGCTCTTGACCACCTCGGGCAACCTCCTCGGGATGCTGGCCTCCTCCTCGTCGTAGCCCCTGATCCACCTGTAGGTCTCGTCCAGGATTGAGAAGGCAGGCCTGAAGACCATCATCGCCCAGGTCCAGTGGCCCGCCAGACTTGCCAGCACCGAGGGCGGGATACTGGCCTCCAGCAGCAGAGCCTCTGTCGCCAGGGCCAGCTCCGCAAACTTCTTCGTCTGAACCCTCAGCACGCAAGGCCTCGAGGCTGGAATTGTCAGCCCGACGCCCGCGGCAAGTCCCTCTCCCCAGTCCTCCTTGTGGATCGCGAGGCCCTTCTTGTTCAGGAGCTGCTTCACCTCCTCCTTGTCCCGCACGATGTCCTCCTCCTCGCCGGGCCCCTTCAAGGTGAACCCGATGTAGTCGTCGATGTACAGCATGAGGATCAGCTTCACCGCCAGCTCCGAGGTCGTACCAAAACTCGGCGTCGGCTTGCCATAGGTTATGGTCGGCGCCCTCAAAGCCTCGAAGCTCGCCTCCAGACAGGTATGCGCCAAAAAGACCGCCCAGGCTGACCCCATCACCAAGCTCGCCGCTCCTAGCCCAATCTCCGAGGTCGTGGGCTCCTGAAAGTTCAACCCCTTCTCCTGACCGCACTGGTACAGCTCCTGCGGCGAAACACCCTCCACGACAAAGAACTCCGCCAGCACCGAGCCCCAATGCAGCCGATAAAACCAATCCGGCACGTCGCCCTGGAAGGAGTAAAGCCGCCGTCCATGCAAGATCACCTCGTCCAACTCCAACAGAGCCAGGCCAGCTGGACTCCCCAGTGGCACCCAAGGCGGGTCGTGAAAGAGGACGTTCACTTTCCTGCAATCCCAGATCTGCCTGCTTTTGAGCACTTCCCCTGAGTCGGGCTCGACGTCCTTCGCCACCGTGAAGAGCCCTACTTTCTCGCGCACCTCCTTCACGTAGATCAGCATGCCCGCCTGGTACATGCGGGCCAGGAGCTCCAGCTTCACGCACTTGCTCCTCAGCGCCGGGTCCGAGTAGCTCTTCGTCATCTCGTACCTCTCCCAGTCCACCTCGCCCGAGCCCCGGACCATCAGCTTCTCGCATGAATCGATATAGCTGCCTGCGCAGGCCGACAGGTCCCGGACACGAATCGGCACCGTACCTGGGCTGGGCAATGAGACATGCTCCGCGCGCAAGGGGCACAAGTCCCCCTTTTTGTATCTCGTCACCTTCCTGTTGTCCTCCTTCCTCTTTACCGTCGTAAAGTAGCCGCTGCCCGTCGTCTCGCCCAGGCGGCTGAGGGCCGCCTTCCCGTCGTCGATGTTGCCCCAGCCCGCTCGCATTGCGTGCCGGTCCCAGATGTCGCTGATGATCTTCTTCTGGAGCGGGCTGCTCGCCGTCCACACCTCCTTCGCCACCTCCTCCGTCTTCAGGGGGGACGGGGCCAGCCAGCCGTTCGCACAACCCATGGCCATGCTCTTGATCGCTGAGATCGTCCTCGCCGTCCGCCTCCATGTAACCCTCAGGCTGCTCGATCCCAGTCCCGAGCTCGATCGCCTCGTAGTCAAAGGGAAAGGCAGGCTCGGTAAGGTCCTCAGCGGATCGCGCTCCCGAGGATCCATTAGCGACGTCCAGGGAAGGCTCCACCTGGCGTCCTGCACCACGACGCACAGGTTGACCAGCTCGCGGAAAGGGAGTCTCGGGAGCGTCGAACTCGACCTCCTCCGACTCGAAAATCGCCCAGTCGGTGAGCACCTCCCAGGCTGGCTCGAAGAACACCCAAGTCAGCAGGCCCACGAGGACCCAGACCAGGACGGTGCCGCGTGACAGCCGGGTAGAGGCCGTCGAACTAGCCGAGTCGGAAAACTCACAATGGGGGGGGATCCCATGGGGGGGGAGGCAGTTGGGTTACGAGCTCGCTACACGCCTTCTGAGTTTCACTCAGGATTACCTCTTTGAGCTTTCGAATGGGACAGTAGCGATCAAATGTCATCAAACTCCTCGTCTCCTTCCTCCGCCTCTACTTCCCCCCTCCTCAACCTCCAAGGGAAGTGCTCGCTTTGGGGCGTGTCGCGACGAACGTCGCTCTTCTCGCGCATCTGTCTCCCAGCTTCGGTCCGCGATGCGCATGCGTGCCAACCGCGGGTTCTTCAGGAGTCGCCAGGAGGGAGGGCTGCGCTGCCAAGTGTCGCCCACGTCAATATACGCCGCCACCGCCGCTGCCATCAGCGCCGCCCCTCCCGCCGCCCTCGCGCCGCTCCGATTCCAATTCCCCCCCCTCCTCATCCTCTCCCACCTCTTCCCCCCATTCACTTTCTTTTCCTGATTCTTTCGTCCCGCTGTGTTTGTCCTTTCAGTGACGCCCATTCGGACGAACCCGTTGTTCGGTGAAGCCATTTGGCTGTAGTGGCAAAAGGTTCGCTTGATCGTTGGATTGTTCGGGCCTGGTGAGCACCGCGCGATACCTGGCGGTCCGGAGATTTGCCCACCCATACCAGAAGTTGAGTTTGATGCTGAGCGGATCGGTGTTTTTGTTTCCATGGGGCCGCGATTGCTGAGAAGTGCAGGGGTTTGAATGTTTCAGAAATCTGCCGTCGTAGCGGTATTTACGACGTCGATGATGCTCATGGTGGTTTGCGGTGATGTCTTGTTTTGAAATACCCCCATACATCGCCATCGCGTTGCTTCCGAGGCCGTCTTCAGATCAAGGGCGCGCACTCCGGAAACCAGGCGCCCTGACCGCGCAGGAAGGCGTGCCAATTCTCTCACCATGGTCGCCAAGCAGGCGGCAGCGAAGGAGTCGCCCCCGAAACACTTCCGAAGTCTTGCCATTGAGGACCAGATCTCCAAACTGAACCAACGGGCCGATAAGCTGGCCACCAAGCACCAGCAGAGGGCGCTCCAGGTCTTATTGAAAGACAGACCCGATCTAATCCCCGGCATCGTGAAGCATTTGAGCTCCAAGGGCGTGCAGTTGCCCGATCTGAAAACGTTTGGCAATAAAGGGGCCCGCATCCCCGATGACGATGACATGGGCACTGGCTCAGGCGATTTTCCCGCCATAGAAGACAAGGCGCTCCCCGCAAAGGTGCGCAGGACCACGGCGGTGCGAGACGACAACCCTGACAATTGGCTCCCCCACAAATACACGAAACTCGTGAATTGCTCACCGAAGTTCCTCGAGGAGCTCGCGTCCAAGCTGGAAGACATCTCCTACAGTACCTACATGCTGAAGGCTTTGAAGGTCAAGAGGCAGACCAAAGAGCATCATCAGGAGAAACTTGCTGAAATCATTGAGTTTGCCAGTGGCTGGGACATGAACAAGGCGATCGTAGGCGACATGAGGCACATCCCAACGTTCACGAAACAACTACAGGAGGCCAGTGTTTCGAGGGGTAATCGCGGGGCCACCCTGAGGTTGCCGGCCACGTGGACGGAGAAGGGCGTCGGCGTCTACAGCTTCGTTGGCGGTGCGGGGATGGCGATGGTCGTGAGGAACCGCTTCAACGACATCTCGGTCGAGGTCCCGGAATCCATGTTTCTCAAAGTGGACGGCCAGTTGGCACCTTTCGATGAACTGTTCATCAGCGACAACTATTCGGAGACCAGGGCGGCCATCACCACCGGTAAGAGCACAGAGTCGATCGCGATCGCTACCTTGGCGGGCGCGGGCGCAGCTATGGAGGCTGAGGCCTACTCCCCGTCGGGCAAGAGCGGCGGCATAACCCCGCAGATTTGTGACCGAGGTGTTCAGTGACCGAGTGCGGCGTCAAGGTAGGGGCGATCGCAACCATCGCGGCCCAGGGGGCCACAGGCGGCACTGCTCGAGGTCGAGGCTGAGCGCCGCAGTTTGGTGCTGCTGTTGTTCTCGCGGCGAAGCCTGCTAGTGCGGCTCGCGCTGGCTCGGGGCCAGCCAGGCGCCAGCAGCATCGCGCACTGGGCTGAGTGTTCCGTTCGGCGTCCGAGATCTGGCGCCTCATATTCTAAGCGTTTTCAGTCTCGCACGCGTGGAGCGCTCGCCTCGAAGAGGTGCCAGAAGCCTGGCGGAAGCAGGGGGGGCTGCAAGCTGACAGGCTTTTGGGGGTAGTTGAATCTTGCATCAAGTGGGGATGCGAAGCCGCGCTGGGAGTCAGCCAGGCCAGCGTTGCGAAACAACCTCAGAGTCATTTTCCACCTCCTCGCCCCCCTCGCCCGACTCCCGTCCTGATCCTCATTCCTCTCCTCTTGCTCCTTCCCCTCGTCCTTCCCCTCGCCCCCCCCGCCCCCCGTCGCCCTCCCCAGTCCTTCAATCAGAGTGAAAAGCGAAATCTCAAAAGAAAAATCCCAGCGCCCCCACTCCCACTTCCCGCTGGGGGTCCCGCGCTGTAGGACCCAGGCGCTGAAAGGCAATGCCACTGGCCACGCAGCTGGACAAATGGGTCGGGTTAGTCGCTGGGGCAACCTAGGCACTTCGACCCTCGTCGAGGATTTCGGCAGGCCGTCGGTGCAGGTGACGGCGACCGCTCGGGCACAGGCGAAGCAAGGGGCGGCCGTCACCAAGGACTTTTTCGTTGAGAAGGACGCTGCGAACTTCGACCTTGGCCCCGATACGCTGCGTACCATGACCGACTCAGGCTGGGCCCACCCTTCTCCGTCAGCAAACAAAATGGTTGGCGCTTGTTGGGCAGCTTGGTCGGCTACGAATGGAGATATAGCCAAAGCTTCAAAGACTTGGCTGTCCTTGCTCGCGTCGCCGGGCACTCTTCTCAGGCACGACGAGTCGAAGGTCCGAGGCATCGTCATTGGCACTACGCAGTGGGGGATTTTCTTACAGCCTGCTTCTATCCATAAGACGCGCGGGCATATATATTTGTTGGTGAATGGGAGTGAACCGACAAAGTTCTTGCCAATTTTTGACTTCGATGGATGGCGCGCCGTCAAGCCAACGGTGCTTTCGGCTGCTGGAGTGGCAAATCTGATCGGGGATTGCAGCGCTGAGGCAGGTGTCGTTTTCATGCAGAATGGCAGAGGGAGCAAGTTGCAGGTGCACGCCGCCCGGGAGGGCTTCAAACTTCTCACGAAAAGCTTCCTCGACAAGTTGATCAGACATGAAAAGCTGCGCTTTTCCCAGGGCGCCCAACCCAAGACTGTGGACGATTGCGTGAAAGCGTTGATCAGACACTGGGTCCCAGACGCCACTGATGACTTCATTGCGCGTGCTCTGGAACATCGTTGTGGGAAACATATCGACCAGCACTTGGCGAACCAGAGCGTCCTCGCATTGGATTCCAACCTCGATGCCATGATGCACCTGATGGAGGCCGACGACCACGAAGCTTTGAAGGAGGCTGTCGACAAGGCCAAGAAAAACATGTCCGAGGATGACCTGAACCCGAAGTCCGGGGGCGAGCGCCGACCAGCTTGGACTGCGAGGCCTGTGGATCTATCTCTATGCGCCACGCTGGACCAGGGCAGAAAGTTGCTCCCCTGCGTCAGGGGCGCCTGGCTTGGTTTGGACCAGAAACGGTTCACTCGATGGACAGCGACATATCCAAACCGACTCCCTCCTTTCTACGTGACAAAAAGTTATGGGCCGAAAACGGGTTTGACCATTGAGCAAGCTCTCGTGCATTGTTTAAAGCAGGTGTGGGCGTGGCACGAAGACCTCACCGGCTATGAATGCCCTTACCTCTGGCCGCAAGATGAGTTTGCGGAAGACGGCTAGCGCTCCAGTTGTAATTATTCCGCGCCCATATGATCGATGTAGCACCTTGCAGAGACCAATCTGGTCAAACGCGGTTTTTTGATGACACGCTTCTGTGCACACTAGCAACTAGTATCGGCAGCGATGAAAAGTCCGACGTTTCCATTCAATTCGGAATTCTTGTCACTTCGCGTATCCGCACTGGCACATCTTCAAACGGTGCTCTGGCAAGTTGCCCTGATCATGGAAGGGAGGACGCACGCAATGGGAACCCACCCAAAAGGATTTTTGATACGCCGAATTCTACCTACGACCGGGGGCGCGTCCAACAACATACCCATGTCAACTAGAACCGATGCCTCCGCGAGTTGTCTTTGGAGATTCGTAGAGGCCACCCGGGGCAATCTCGGAGGAGACGGGCGACGAAGAGTCGGAGGGGGAGGAGACAGGAGGAGGAGGAGAGGGCAGCAGGAGGAGGACGGAGGCAAAGGGAGGAGGAGGGGGAAGGGGAGGAGGAGGGTGATGCAGGAACGACGGAAGGAAAGGAGGATAACAAAGAGAACGGAGAGGCCTTGGCTGACCTCTTGTTGCGAGTGCCTCGTGCAGGACTCTCGGATGTATCTTGGGGTCATCTTAAAGTCTCTTGGGGCGCTTCGGGGCCCTCCTGGAGGCCTCTTGGGGCCCTCCTCCTCCTCTTCACCGCCCTCTTGCCGTTCACATGTCCTTCCCCATCCTCCTCGCCATCATCCTCCTTTCCGGACTCGCTGTGCGATCTCTTTGCCTCGTCCACGCCCCGTCCGTGCCAATCGTCGCATCGCTCCTCGGATGCCCATTTTGCACGACACATGCCGCGACCGCGCAGTTTCACAGGCGTCCGTGCGCACCGCCCCGAATACATCTACATAACACGCGCTGGCGGTGGGCTTGATATGTGTTGCACAGAGACATCATGGCACTCGCTTCCCGCTCAATGGCCCGCGCGGGGCTGCTCCATGACACCTTGATACGACATGCTCTGTTGCGGATATAGTATAAACTCCACCTGCCTTTTGTGCGCAGGTTGTTTTCGATCCGCCTTTTCCCTCTTCCAATTTCTTTTCTGTATCAAATGCGTGAAAGGGCATTGCCCCTCCCACATCCCCCCTCCCATGGATCTGGACAGGGCGGGGGCGGAGCGGTCAGATGGCCCAAGATGGCCTACGATGGCTCCAAGATGGTCTAACATGCCCCAAGTTTGTTTCCAGGGTTGTCCAAGACAGACGAATATGGTACACGATAGCCTCCAGCATATTTCCAACAGGCCCCAAGACGGTCGCAAGACGGTTCCACGTGCTCTGCGAGGCCTCCAAGGACCCCCCCACGAACCAAAAGTCTTTGCAAACCTACGGAAAGGCAGCATGTTGTGCCGTCACGTCTTTTCGCTTCGAAGCGGCTTCTGAAGCCTCAAGATGGCTCTTGGATGGCCCCAGACACTTCCAGTGGGACTCGGGAGGGTTTCAAGACAGCCCAAGAGATCCCTAGGGGCCCCCAGGAACATTCCAACAGGGCCCCCAAGAAGTGATCGTTCTGCCTCCAGCAAGGGGGGTCGCCGAATTGCTAGCACCGCCCTGCTTAAGCCGTAAGGTCCAAGATGGCCCCGAAAGGGCCCCGGGACAGCCCCGAAAGAGCCCCAAGTGAGCTTCAATATCCCCCAAACGAGCCACAAGAGGGGACAGGGGCACGAGTGGGAGGAGGGAGGAGAAGGAGCAGCAGCAACACAGAGGAGAAGACGATTGCACCGATCCGATGTTCGATTGCAGTCGTGACTCCGACAGGGTTCCGAGCCAGGCTGCGACCGTTTTGGGGACAGTATTGTTTGTCAGCCTTTCGCTTACCCCGCCGCTCTTCATGTCTGTCCTTCTTCGCTCCTTCTTGTCGTCCAACCTCCCTCCAAGGACTCCTCATTGCCTTGGCTCCCGCCTCCGAGCCAAAGGTAAAGCAGATGGTTTTTGACGCTGCAGTTCCAGCCGTTGCGGGGGCGCTGCCGCTGCCGTGGCGTATGTGCCAGTTTGGTTCAAGAGTAATGGTTGGCAGCGAGAAGGGGTCTTCTTCCTGGCGCACAGACGATTGGATGGGACAGTGACTCCTGGGTACATGCGTGCCCCTCGCCCCCCATGGGGTCCCCCCCCATCATGAGTTTCCCAACCGAGCAGCGTGGTGTAGTGCCTGCAGCACGCGCTTGGCCAGTGCTTACCACGATCGCACCGGCCGCAACCTATTCGCCCTCTGCGCCGCCTCCCCCGACACCACTCTGGTTCAAGTGCTTGTTCAGGGTCGCGCGGCGCCTCAGCTTCTCCAGCACCTCCTCGTCGGCCTTCAAGTTCTCGGTGTCGCGGTCGCCGTCCACGCGCAGGTACCCCTCCGCCAGCGTCCAGTCGACCTTGGACTTCCACTTCCCGTTGTTCTGCGCCTTGGGGCGCTGCCAGTCGGCGCGGCAGTGCACCCGCTCGTAGGCCTTCCAAATCGAGGGCCTGTACTGCTGCAGCACGTTCAGAAGACTATCCCTCGGGTTGGCGGACTCCAACTTCGACTGCACAATTTGGTCCTTCAGCGGGTCGTCGAAGTCGTTGCCGATCTTATCCCAGGATCCACTGCTGCCACTGCTGCTGACCGGTGTAGGCGTAGACCCAGCCGTCGCCCGAGCAGAATTGCGCTGCAGCTTCCGAATGAAGGCGTCGATGTCGTCCGAGTTGGGAGCGCCTCCACCCGCGGCAGCCCGAAGCGGGCTGCCCTCGCCAACCGAAGTCTCCGCTGGAGGCGGATGGTTGGGCGGCGGCAAGGGCGGCCCAGCGGAGGCCCCCTCGCGCATCTTGTCCTTAAGGTCGATCATTGCCTAGGCCAGCTCCGTCTGACCCCTCGCCAACTCCGAAAAGAGGGCCTTTGCGTCGAGCTCGTCGTCGCTGTCACTCACGTCGCGGCCGCCCACCAACAACGCGCCTTCCGTGTCCGTGTCGCTCTCGGTGTCTGACCCGTCCGAGGTCTCGTCGTCCCTCGCGCTGGTGTAGAACCAGGCCGCGTAGCCCAGCACGAGCACGCCTCCTATCACGCAGATGATATTCTCCAAGTCTCCGTTCTCGTACAGCTCGGTCAGGAACTCCACGAACGACTGCGCGTCCTCCACGGCCTGTAAGGCCGCGCGCACCGCGTGGTACCCGCTGCTCACCCACGAGCCCCAGCTCGAAATAGCGCCACACGCGCCAGCACAGGAAGGACACCGATCCCCACGCTCCGACGGTACGATAGCTCCAGCCGGCCACCATCACGGTCGTCACGCTCTTGAACATCCAGCTCGCCATCTGCGTCTTCGACGGCGGCTTCCGCTTCTTGCCCTCCTTCTTGGCCGCCGCCGTCCTGGCCTCGGCCTCCTTCAGCTCCGACCTCGCGATCAGCCGCTCCGACGCGATCAGCGCGGCGTCCCGCTGCTTCTCCGTCAGCCCCGGGTGCTCCGTCCAAACTACCCCACGCTGGGGCTTGGACAAAGCGAACTTCTTGTCCCGCAAGTTCACGAACACCGCGCGCTGCGTCGGGTCCACCGCCGTCCACACCGTGCTCTTCGCGGCACCGACCTTGCTGATCAGCAAGAGGACGACCCCAGTCGGTTTCGTCTACGACTTGAGGTACAACCGATTCCACCTCGCCCAGGGCGCCATGTAGCTGGCCTTGTTGCCCGCCCAAGCGTGCTCGGCGCCCTCCGCGCCGCCCTCGAAGAGCGGCTCGCTGTCGGACTCCTCCTCCTCCGCGTCGCCGAAGAAGGAGAGCGCCGGGGAGATCGCCTCCCACTCGCTGGCAAGCACCGCCAGCGCCAGGGCCCAGCCGATGGGCCCAGCGCGCGCCGTGGTGCCCCAGGGCCCGACGGCGCCGCGGCCTCCGCGAGGCCGAGCCGATCGCCCGCGGCGGCGGGCCCGCACGCACCTGCAGGGTCGGGTGCTCTCACAGGCTCGGAGAGCGGGCCTGGCCCGCCACCAAACCCTTCGAGCCGAAACTGCAGCCAAATACAATGGTTCAAAAATTGCTTGCGTACCCCCCCCCCCTTCGGCGCCTCCTCCAATACACAGGCAATGTTGGGGGGGCAGGCGGGTGCGCAAGGAAATTCTGGGTGACGATTCGGCGGCTAAATCATTTACCGATGCAATTGTAAAAGTGTGTTCTGAAAACGCGTATACCTTGTGTTTTTTCGGGTGACGGCAGCTCTGGTTAGTGGGATGGGCCGGGTGGGGCGTCTCTCGATAAGTACACATTTGCAACAAGGTCACCAGGTCCCACTAAATTTCGTGGGGAATTCCCCTCTACAGGAGGAAGATTCCGAATTGGTCAAACACTGATATGGGGGCGATGTTTCCTCCTTTTTAATATTGCTTGGCGCATTTGTTGAATCTGTTTTTCGGTCCAAAGTCCGCCTGTAGGTGAACATGCAGTAAACTCATGCCCGACCTGGCACTAGACTTAAATAAGTCGGGCTTGTCCCTCTACAGGGGAAATGTTTAAAAGTGGTGAACAAATAGTTCGGGGACGATTTGTTGTATTGTTTTGTAGTGCTTGAGCATTTTTTGAGTGCTTTTATTTTTCGTCGAAAATCCCCTTGTACAGTCAACCCGCATAGCAAGGATGGGCAACCTTCCCAAGGGTACCCTTGCATCCTTGCCTCCTCGGTCTATCCTTGGCCACTTTCGTCGGCCGCACCCCGCTCGGAAAATTTCGAAGTGAGCTTCCAAGGCCCTTGCATCCGTGTCGCGCATCCTTACTCTACGGGTTGACTGTAGGGGGACAGTCGGGTATGGCAAGGACCCCGGGTAATGGCACCCGGTTAGTGGTAGGGCTCCGGAGCCTTTGAATTGGCCAGAATCACTAAACCAGGTCTGCCATAGCTTATGTTTTTTCGGGTGACGGCAGTTCCGGTTAATAAAAATAGGACGGGGGGGGCGCCCCTGGTACTCGGGCATTCTTTTTGGGTGGAGGGCAAAGGGTGAAATCCGAAATGCCGT